CTTCAGACGTCAGCCTTCCTGCTCCTCTGATGCTGCTTGGCCTGCTGTGTTCATCCAGCTCTACACCTTGTTATCTCAGATTCTCCAGCATCTGCAGTTCCTACTATCTCTGAAACAATTCCAATCCCAGAATCATGCCTGTATAGTACTCATACCAGAAAGAATTTCCTTCTCTTTCAAGGCCGAAGGACTTAATTTAAGTGCAGCTTCAATTCCCTGCATCTGATAATCTGTTCCTGGAGCCCTCACACAGCCGAGCTTAGACCATCTTGCTTCAAGTAACTCCAACAGGGTAGTAACCAAGCATTCCTGGTCTGAAAATAAACTCCTTACATGGGAGGTAATCAATTTCTTAACAGTTTTAAGCTATCTCCCTTCTTTAGAAGCAACTGTTTTACACATCCAGTTTCAGCCATGACTTCTGCAAAATTACCAAACTGAAATCCAAAAGTCTTTTCTAAGCTACGGCGTTTCCTCCAATCCACTGAAAAAGAAAATCAATCTCTGATCTTCAAAACTCGAAGTCTAATGCAAAACTGTTCATATTCTTCACTGTATAACCTCTTCCAATGAAACCAAAATTCCATTAATGAAGGAACACACACTCATATTGTTTTTAAAAGAAATCACCATGGCTACAGAAATACTTACAAACTAATCATTAAACTCTTTCAGACACACTGATCAAAACCCGCTAAAGGTAGATTTCCTGTAATGTGACAGTTGTGTTCTTGCGTAACCTCACCCTGTAGAAAATTGCATTATAGGGAAATCGCTATGCCTGTACAGTAGAAAGCTTACGTTATCCAAACAATGTCCATTATTCATCAATCGCGTTACAGCCAATTTACATTAATGAAACACACGTTATAGCAGAACTATCCGTACTGCAAATCTAAACTCTATACCCACCCTTGCAAAGTATGGCTTACATTACAAATTTGATAATGTAACTTCTCATATGTTGTAATGAAAATAAACCTAATGACAGGTAACAGGCCTTATACACAATATGGATGCTGTTAAATCTCAAAAGTATTTGCAGCAAAAATTAGTCTTGCAAACTCAATAAATAGTTATTGCATGCTATGTACTCACCATCGGGGCTGAAATCCCAGTATTTCTCTTTTTAGCAAACATTGACATAAACAGAGCTTGTGTTTCACCACTTTGTATTTTTTACCCTATTCCTTTGACTGCTACAATTAGCAAAGACAGTAACTTTTATCCTCCGTGTATGGAAATGTGTTATTTTTATCATGTTGCTAAAATAAGTTATATATTTTTAGCTGAAACAGCATCTGCTTCATCATATGATTTACCTTGTAGAGAATAGTTAGCTCAAGAAAATACTTCTAACATTCCTTACATGAAGCAAACCACGTGATGAAACCTATAACTTCAACTAAAAATGCATTTTGCATTATGAGAGAATAACACCATCCTCGTCGCATTTGGGAAATTAAAATTTGTTTTTTATCTCTGATACAATTTATAAAAGCCGAAGAACAACAGAATAGTAAAAGGCCATTCAGGTTCTTAAACCTGCACTGCCATTTCAAAAGATCATTGCTGATTTGCTCTAGGTCTCAACTCTTCTTTCATGACAGCTCCTCATTGGCCTCAACTGCTCGATATTTCAAAAATTCTATCCTACTCCTCCTTAAAGTAATCTTAATAATGTAACCTCCACAACTGTCTGAGGTAGAGAATTCTACATATTTAATAATCTTTTGAGAGAAGAAATACCGTCGTATTTCAGTTTTAAATGAGTGTCCCCTTACTTTGTAAGTACGTCCTATATTTCAAGATCCCTCCACTACTGGAAACATCTTCACCCTATTCACCCTGTGCACCCGTCAGAATCTTGTACATTTCAAGAAGATCACCCTTGTTCTTTGAAACTCCATTCATTCATAGGTCTAACCCGTTTAGCCATTTGTGATATCCGTCAACCCAGGAACCGGCCTAATAAATCTCTTTTGAACTTCCTCCAATGCTAGTATATCCTTTCTTAAATAAGGACCAAAACTGTACACAGTACACTAGCAGCAGCGTTACCAACAGCATGTAAAGTCTCCTATTTTTAAAATACAACTCCCAAGCAATAAAGGACAAAATTTCAGATGCCTTAACTACTTGCCGATCTGCATACTAATCATTTGTATTTCACGCCCGAGAACACCCATATCACACTATACAGCTTCTATATGGAGTCTGCCACCATTGCAGTACTCAAATAATTAGGTACATTCCATTCCTCTTTGTTTCCATAAACACATTTGTCACTACATTAGCATTAGATTTCTCTATGCTGTGTTACGATAAAGTGGTTAATCCATGGATTTGAAACTAGTTAAACAGCGTTCTAGGAACGGCACCTAGAGGGATTTTAGGCTTTGAAAGACAGTGTACATTGAAAAGTATTTGCTTCCACTACGGTTCCATACAGCCCTGTCAACATCGGAAAACACTCTCATGCAGAATTGTTTTTGTCCTTCTGCTTCATAAAACAGACATCAGCCACTTCTCGGAGAATGAACAGCACCAAAAAGAATGAATGAGTGAATTGTATTGAAGCAACAATTTTCACTGGCAGCATTCTTTGCATGAAAAATTATAATACCATTTTTTAAAAATAGCACCTCGGTGCTCAAATCCTAACTTCAGTTTGAAACATTGTTCCAAACAGGTATAATTCTATAAAACGCATTACAAAACAAATGCAATGAAGCCTTTTTTTCCCTAGTTGTGTGACGTGGGCATTACTGGCTTTATGTTGTCCATCCCTAATTGTTGTGGAGATGGTGCCATTTCAGAGGCCAGCTGAGTGTCAACCACATTGCTGTGGGTCAGGAGTTACATAGAGGCAGACAAGGTATGAATAACAGATTTCTTTCCCTGAAGGACACTAGTGAACCAGATAGGTTTTTCTGACAAACAACAGTGATTTCATGGTCACCATTAGACTCTTATTTCCAGATATTTATTGAATTCAGATTCTGCCATCCGACATGGTAGGATTTGAACCCGAGATCCCTGAACACTGCCTGAGTTTTCGGATGCAATAATTCCATTAGGCCATTGCCTCTCCTGATAATAAGAAACCTCCTTAACCACCATTTGATTTGCCGTAATTTACCTTCTTCTGTTTCGTGCAGGTGTATTGCATCTTTCCCCTGAGAAATGGTGTTGATTTGGTCGAGCTGAGGGAGGTCGCCTATTAGATGTCATCTCCCATGGTCGCATTGGTGATGAGGGAGCAGGAGATACAGCTGTATATTCAAAAAATGAATGGGAGAGGCGTTGACGCTTAGGACTTGGGCTTTCTTCACTCTACATTAAAATAAGAAAAAGAATATTATTATAACTTTTCCATATAGACGCACATTATAGTTCCCTTATTAACCTTCAGAATATACCATGGAGATCTGATCTAAAGTTGGTATAAAGTTAACCTTCCGTAGACACTGGTCCCTACTTTTAAGGGAACATGGAAAAAGTATGGGGATAAGTTAGCTTGGAAACCTGAATATTTGAGGAACTTGGGAGATGCCGCTGAAATTAACTATGAAATCTCATTACTGTTTATTTAATTTCTGATCCCCACCTGCTCAGATTGAGGGCTGACTGGACGTAGGGAAAGAAAGACTGTACCACAATTGAAAAGAACGGGGCTACAATAACAAAGCAATTAATTCTTTTACAGGTTTGAATCCACTAATAGGAATAGAACTTACACAAAACATGTTAAAACAGAATAAATGGCTCAATGTTCTTGTCATGGTTTGGTCAATCGATCATACCTCATGTAAAATGCTTTACTGAAGAAAAAGGGTAATTTTTGTTAGCCATTCCCTGTTGTTTGCCAAAAATTATTTCAGAGTGTTTGCAATTATTTTGTGCATTATTGGTATGAAGGGAGCCAAACTGTACATATTTGGCAACTTTTTCCAATTAGTAAATATCTAGTTGATACCTTAACTTTGCACATCTCATTCTCTCAACAAAGATTTTGCCAAATAAAGCAGCACTTAGCCGGTTGAAACATTTGTGGAACACTACGTGACAGACTTTTAAACTCTGCAACAATCCTGACCACCAGAAGATATTGTTTCACCATGCATATGTGCTAGTGTTCCTCACTTTTTCTTCCAAGTTAACGTGTTTGGCAGTGCTGAAACATCTTTCCAACAACAACACTCTTTGGAATAGCTCCAAAAGTTTGACGGTGTTACACAATTTTTATTTACAAATTTTAATTAAGAAAAAAAAAAGCTATTGAGGAAAGCTTTAGCAAAGTATGGCATGTTATTCTTCCTTCCGGATTCATCTATTTTTAAACTACATTTCATAAAGGTTTTCATTGTTATGTTTTAACTGAGTAAGGTGACACCTAACATAAACTTTGAAAGTTTAAAAAAAATTTAAAATATTCCAAACATCAGTGTAACTGTTTACCTTTCAAGTTATTAATCAGCCCAACTCCAATTTGCAACTGGAATTTTTGCTAACTAAATAAATATTGGTCACTATGTGAAAGTCTCTATTTTCCCTTCGAGATCATCTTAAGCTTTAAATGGGTTCTCAGGTAATTCCTCCATAAGTCTATCTTCCAAGATACTGGATTTAGCGAAAACCTGCACCTCAGAGATTTTCAGAGCTCATTTTAATTGGCATTCATGGGGCACACACAACACAGCTGGTGGGAAGGATGCTCAGAATATGCTGGAGGGGAGGATGGGAGACAGAATGTGAGATTGGGAAATGGGACTTGGTGGGGAGGGGAGGCAGGTAATCACATAGAGACCAAGTACTGGTCTCTTACTTGCAGAAACTGTAGCAGGTGTACTAAGGGAGCAAGGGGAAAATTCTCCTGTTGCTCCCGGTCCACCAGCATTACTGGAAAAACATCTGCTGTATCTGGTAGATCCTGTTTTGTTTTGCAGCCAGGTTTCCTGACTTCCAGAGGCCCAGGGAACCTGTGCCGGAGGAGTTAAACCTAAATGCCTACTGAAGTCTGAGGTATGGAGCCTTTCTTAAATACTATAACTATGGATCTCGCCCTCAAAAGTGTGTATTTTGACCAATTTCAAACTCATCAAGATAGATCCAGAAGAGTATTGACAGTAGGCTGGATTTCCCATTTTTAACAGTTTAACCCTCCTTTCTCCCATCATTCTCTATTCCAACCATCTTGCCCATCCGAAGGGGGATAAAATTAGCCACGAGAACGTAAAGCATATCTCTGGGTCAGAAAATGCAAAACTACTGGCAGATTTTAGAAATGTAAAATACAAAATAGAAAATGCTGGAAATACTTAGCTGGTTTGGGACAGCATCTGTGCAGAACGAAATAAAATTAACATTATAAGTCAATTACCTTTATCAGAACTTGGAAAAATTAAAAATCTAATAGACTTCCACACTCAACACTTTCAAGATCGTAAACACCACTAATTTTAGCCTGTCCCATTACTGCACTGTAATAACTTCAGCTAGAAATCCAAAATCTGGCAATTTCTGTTGGATGCTGAAGAACAAAATTAGGTAGGCATTAATACTGAGGATAGGCTTTCTAACATTAACCTATAATCCAAAAATTAAAGGAAAATCTGGAAATGACTTGCTTCATCTCAAGTTTCCTGAAGTAGGCAGGAGTACAATATAACCCTTTTTGGCCTGTATTGTCATCCCAGCATCACTGCCACCAACCACGGTGGCTCAGTGGTTAGCACTATTGCTTCACAACGTCAGGGACCCGGTTCGATTCCACCCTCGGGCGACTGCCTGTGTGGAGTTTGCACATTCTCCGTGTCTGCGTGGGTTTCCTCTGGGTGCTCTGGTTTCCTCCCACAAGTCCAAAGATGTGCAGGCTAGGTGAATTGGTCATACTAAATTGCCCATAGTGTTCAGGGATGTATAGATTAGATCGATGGGTCTCGGTGGGATGCTCTGAGAGTCAGCGTGGACTTGTTGGGCTGAAGGGCCCATTTCCACACTGTAGGGATTCTATGATTCATATTATGGAGTGTCTCTTGTGCACTTTTCACTCTTCCCGAACTTTCTTTGCCTTTGTACTAGATGTTACAAATTTTAAGCATCTCTATTTGTTCTAGTTCTGACAATGTCACTGACCTGAAACAACAGTGAAGATACTTTGCTGAATTGTGAAAGCAAGGTGCACACGTCTGAAAAACTGAAGCCTTATTCTTGAACTGACTGTAGGATGCATTAATTCAAAAAGAGAGCTAAAGGGACTAAAGATGAGGTGTAGAAGCATCAATTGCCAAATCCGATATCAGCAGTAACACGCCTTTGAGATCCAGTAGATATGGGTGGAATGGGGTGAAAGGAAGTAGAGCAGGATGGAAATTGTTCATCAAGTTTACTTTCAACTTTGAGGCTTTTCCCAGTACTAATTCTGCTGTTGGTTATCTCCAAGTCAGGGTCAATGCTTGTGATTAACAACTGTAAACTTCTGGGAAAGTGCAGGAATTCAGGGCATCACAGGGAATTGCTAGAGACATTAAATGTAGGGGTTTTGGGCAGCATTTCTCTTCCCACTGAAATTTAACAATTGTGTGCAAGTGTCACGCGTGCTGCGCATCAGGACTTGCTCAGTTTCATTGCAGCATTTCACCAATTAGGAGGGGGGAGGAAAGACAGAGAGAGAGAAGACAAAACTATACCAAATATCTGCTTCGCTGAATACATATGATGATGGTGGACTCAAATATAAGCTGAGGGTGTGAAGTGTGCAGCAATCTGTAATAAAGAAAATAGGACTGGGAACAGGTAAGGAAATAGGGAGAGGGGGGAGAAATGGAGTCTGCCATAAGGCAAATGGAAATTAACATTAATTTTGAACCTCATTGGGCAGACAAACTGTATACTTTGCAAGGATTTTTTTTTGAAGATTTTTCAATGGCTATATTTGAGTTATAGAAACTGCATTTTGGTTTTCAGGAGCTCCTTGAAGGTAAGGCAGATTAGAAACCCAACTACTCAAGCAAGCAAGCATTTGGAAACGTGTCCCATACTTCTATTACAGGGTATTAAAGAAACAGGAGACTCGTTACAGACATGTGGCAAGGAATCTAACTACAATTGAACAGTTTCCTTCATTTGCCCTCTGCACCTGCAATTTGATTTTTTTTTGAGTAGCTGATATTGTAGTTAACTCAAAGCCTGAAAGGAAAGGGTCTTCTGGATTATCTGGACTCCCACTTATCAAAAATAAAAAAAAATTTACATGTGCACAAAGACAAAAAACAGCAGACCCAGCACAGTTCCTTGTAGCACACCGCTGGTCACATTTTGCCATAAAAAGCAGAATCAGGCTGCTAAACCAGATTTGTAGCTGAAAAATGAGGCTGGTATTCTACAAAACTTCCATCTTGTAAAAATCTCATACAAAAAATTTATAATTAATTTTATATTAATAGTCTTCTCTTCAATAACAAAACTTAAAAGCATACTGGAGTAAGTGAAAAAAATATAATTTTGACTCTTTAGGTAACCTGCAAATATATCTTCTTAAAATTATATTTTCCCACTGAAAGCATTTAAATGTCAGTGTTCACAAAAGGGCAGACTAAAAGATAATATTGCTCTGTAAATCACCTATGCTACTGTTAGTGCTAGATGAAGAATTGAGACCAGTACTGTGACACTTGACAGAAGAATTTTCCTGTTCCCTTCAAGCAGTAAAATCACAACATTATCCTTTCATGAAGTAACACTGCAGACTGCTCCACATTTGGTTGAATCATGAGAATTCAAGTGCATTATCCATCAATACAATCCAGCAGTTGCTATGAAGTTTATGTTTGGTGGGTAAAAATCAGCTACATTTGATCATAATTTTCCCAAGCCAAAACTAAAACTAATGATTTTTTTAAAGTAGTGTTCTGAACATTCAGTTCATGGTTCATGTGCTTTCAGATATAAACTTTAATTACTAATATTAAAACCAATAGTAGAAATGGGATAAACGTAATTGAAGCACTGTGAAATGCACATAAAAGGTTGGGATCATGTTGGTTTAAGAGGTTAACAGCTAGAAAGGTTAAGGTAATTGAAATGTTGGGCTTTAGTGATTGTGATTATTATAAAACCAACGGCAATTCAGAAGGTTACCCATATTTATTTAACAGAATCAGAATTGAAGAGATGGAGCTGTAAAAGAGCAGGTGAGATTACTTAGCTGGAGATGTGGTGTCTGCAAATCTGGCAGCAATGGCAGTTCAGAAGGAACTAAATTATCTTAAAAAAAACAGTAATCTCAGTCGAAGGACAGCATGGAGGAGACTAAATCATTGTGGACATGGGTA